CCTATTTGTCCCTGCTTGGTCAGAGTCTGCTGACTCGTGTCCTGCCTCCTGACCTGTCACATGATGTCCTCATGACTGATACCTGAGTCATGCTAAGTCCGGGCTCCCTCCGATGAGTAAGCACCCCTGCTGACGCGTGAGTCACCTGCCAGTGAGTGAGGATGGGCGCTCCCGGACCCCACAAGGTCCTGGGTTCGATCCTGGCTCCTCCACTTTCCGATATGAGTTGCTCGTGGTAAAGGTGGGCGTCTGTCCTGGTTCACATGACCCCTAGGTCACGTGGCACGAGAAAACTGTGACAGCTCCCAATAGGTGTCCCTGCCGTGCTGTTCCACCCGTCGATCGACATTCGTTCGTGTATGCTTGGTCGTGAGTTCATTAAGCCAGACTCAAGGACAGAGTGTGGGTGGTGGCCCCCAGGGAGAACGTTGGGGTCGCGCTTGTGGGAAATCTCAAGAAGGTGAACGCCTCAGAAGGTGGCGATGAAGCCGGCGAGGAGGGAGATGGAGTTGGCGGGATCGTCCGTGTTGAAGCCTTGGAAGAGAATGACAGAGGCGACATTTGTCGCGGTGGAGAAGCCGACGTAGTACATCGAGTTCACGCTGAACGAAGTCAGCACATCAGTGGGGGAAGCCACAGTGGAAAGAGGGGAGGTCGATGGAGTATGTGGCCCTCGTCCGAGGTCGGGCGGGCTTCGTGTTACTCACATCTACAGGAACGGACAGAGGCTCATGTTGCTCCCAGCCAGTGCTGGTCCATTCCCGGGATGGAAACTTGTGGGCAAGGTCCTTCGGAACTCGATCGCACTGGGTAGGACGAGCAGCTCGTACATGGTGGATGAGAAGTGTTAGGAAAGTGAGCAGGGAAGGATATGGGAGTTCCCATGAGGAGGCCCGGTGAGCGTACGGAGTCTGTCAACGGGAGCGTGTAGTGAGTGGGGGCAACGAGAAATGAGGAGGTGAGGGCGAGGACGAGGATTCATGGAGCGCAAGTACGTGTTTAGTGCGGCAACGTGGAGACGCCTATAAGCGTCACAAGCTCTTCACCTTCAGGCTACTCATAAGGAGTGTCCTCGTGCAAAAACGTCAAGCCCATCTTCCCTTCGCCACACTACCATCCCCTCTCTCTCATGAAGGTCAATGTCTCAAGAACCAGTGGGCAAGACAAAGATAGTCGTTTTATGAGTTTCGCTGCAATGCTCCACCACCGCCTGTGCTCGCCGCGGCAACTAGGCTCTGTACGTACGGATTCCGGGGGCATATATGCACCCCTTTACTCACATTTTCTCCATGCAGTCTTATTGTTCCCTTGCCAGGGGCACTCTGACTCATAACCGCTCACAGTACACGGGTCTCTGTGACATTGTAATGCCTCGGTGGCGGGACCATGCTTCCGAATATTACGACACGAGCTACCCAGTCATCGACGACTCGGAGCTCGCGCAAGATGAGCAAACATTCTCCGCCCAAACAAAGCAGATGCGCTTCTATGTGTCAAGTGGACAGGTAACCTTAGTGAACAAGTATGTTCCCCTTCGTCCTCTGTTGTCCTATCCTCCGCGAGAACATTAGTAGCTCCCTGCAAGTCCTGTATGCGCCATATGGTGCGCATATACACGTGCCTGGGGTGTGTTCCACCAGGCATCACGCGAGAACAGAGCATCAGAGCTCAGCTGCCTAGACTACGTCTGTGGTGCGATGCATTACTGCATTGGTTTGGGTGGTCTCGCCTATCCTCGCCCGTGTAAGCATCTTGTCGTTCTCATCCTCCATCTTTATCATCTGGGGAGACATGTCATTTTCACTATTACGACTGTTTAATTGCTCAACAAGGCCTGCCACATAGGCGGCCAAAACTTCGCTGGGTGAGCATGGTGTGATGCCGAAGACACCCCTTGTTGCGCTCCCCATCTGACCTTTACCCTTTCTGCTCTGACCAAAGGCGATCACATCCGCGATCAAAGCGCCCTTGTCTGATGCGACGACCATCATCGGCACTGCCGATGGGTGCATGCTCTCGTTCACGAACGAGTACGAGTATGTCTGCGGAGACGCGCACATGAGCCTTGTTGCTGGCCTCAGCGCATTCCCCTCGGGTATGGTGCACTCCGTCGGCTTTGACGACCGTCTGCGCACAGTTGATGGCCAGGCCTACACGTAAGTCCTAACCCATCACTCTACTGTGCGGACGAGAGGATCACGGATGAACTCAACAGTTTTGGCAAGGCAGGCCTTCATTGTTCTCGACCGCCGCCCAGCTCAAGGCGGGCGTCGCGGTCAACGGCAACTCGACGGTGTTCGTTGTGGAAGTGGAGAGCGTTGAAGCCGTGCCGTCGAACCAGAAGGTGTTTGACCTCCCTCTCAAATACTCCCCAAGTGCGATCGCTGCGTCCAGCTTGCTCGTCGCCGTTGGCGGAGAGGTGCGTCCCCTCCTGCTCTTCTGTCTTCCTCGCTGAGAGATGGCATGTCCAAATCTGGACCAAAAAGTGCGGCTGTACAGTTGGGATGGGAAGGCGCTCTCGGAGAAGGCGATTACCCTTTCTCGGGCTATCTTCATTGTGTCTTGCCATTTGTACTCACACATCCTTCTGCAGATCATCAAACAAGCAGCCAAGTCTAATAATATCAACATCTTTGCCCCCTCTGCATCTATTTCCGCCACACTCTCCATCGCGACCCTCCCCCACACTCCATATCCACAACCGTCTCTGGTCCCTCATCTACCGCAGCATCAACAAACGGAAACGATCATGGTCAGGTGAAGATAGAAGACGGGTCAGGCTCGTGAGACCAGCTCATCACGCTGGAGGACAGGGAGGACAACGGGAAGCTGAAGCGGAAGCTGTCCGAGGGCGGGCAGACGTCCGCGAGCCTGTCAGAAGCAGGCACGAAGAAGCGCAGGAAGACGGTCAAGATCGTGAGTGTTGTGTGGTATAATCGTGTCGGGAGCGTGTCGCTGATGTCTGCTGTTTCTCCCTTTGTCTTTGCGCCCACCGTGTCTCTGGCCTCGTCTACGGCTATGCCTGTGCCAATGTGCCATGACATGCATCGCAGTGCCCATTCTCTTGTGCGGTTGTCTTGTATGCCTTGTTTGTCAATATGTGTCTGCTTCTACAATATATCTTTCGCCTGTGTATCCTCCGAGTGTCGAGCCCTATAGCCCAACACCAAAAAATCCGAGGCAATGTGCCAGATGTTTGGCAATATGTACAAGTTGTCCCCCTGTGCTGCCCGGCATTCTCAAGGATGCCCCCTCGCGCAACGCCCGCAATCCCGGGCAATATGAAAGGATACGGCACTCGATTGCCGTCATTGCAAGCGGGTGCAACGCTCACAATACCAGGCAATACCGACAAGATCTTGCCAGTATTGCCTGGTATTTTCGGACATTGCCTGGTCTTCCAACCTAGTCAGGTTTATTGCGCTAGGATGGAAACCAGACAAGGTGCGCCCAACATTCCCCAAATGTTGCACGGTATTCCTATGATTGCCCGAGCAGGTGTGGGTAGGTTATATACAACAATAATTTTACAGTTTTGCTGATGTACGAGATGGACGATGATAATGTACAGTGCTTTGGAACTCCTCGGAATGTAGTAGTACTTTTTGCATATTGCCCTGATTCCGCATTCAAAGCATCGTAATGCATTGTTGTTGTCGTGTGTGAAATCTACACCTCTAAGCCCATCAGTTATTAGCATGTTTTCGGCAGGTAAATTCACGTCGGTGTTCATCCGGTCAGACACCCGTTCTAGGTATATGAAAACCCACCGGTGTCCACCAGATTAGGACCTGTGGGAATCTGTAACGACTAGCTGAAAATGGAACGTGCGGGAATTGCACCACGCACAACCGTTGGACTACCCGTCCCACTTTCCCAGCCCGTTACAGCCACTAAGCACCGTTACCTCAGGTGACTAAGCCGGGTACTGCCGTACTTCTCTGTGACAGTGCGTCATCCGTGACGCCACCGTTACAGAATCCTGCATCGGTCATATAACATTCACGACCCGTCTTTCATAAGGAGACCGGGTGAATTTTACTCGATTCTGTTGAAAACCACCGCCTAAACGGGTTGAATTCAACAGTTTTATGGTGGGATTTCCGAGTGAAAATCCCCCTGCGCTTACTCTACAGTGAGAGTACTCCAGGAGGCCGACTGGACGATGGGCAGATGATTTGCCTGCATTATATAATAAGCGCCTATGCTAACAACTGCTATCAACTCTCCCATTCCCTGTCCTAGTCAGTTGATAATGCTGCAAAGATCTCGTCT